TTAAAGAATAATGTAGTTCTGTCCATTAGCAGTGGTCACACAGATGGTGTCATCACCTGCATGGTGGCTCCAGCTCTACTTACTCCAAAGCAAATTCCTGAGGATAGCTCTGTAATTGAAGGAGTTGTGGAGTGTATACTCTAAAAAGCCCTAACACATCTGACCCGGCTAATTATAAACATTTTGGCAAGCCGTGGTACTTTTATTTAAAAAGAGAGTCAAGACTTTCTTTAACTTTCCAGCTCTTTGATAAGCTGAACATATTTTTTGATAGTCCCAGATGGTTCCTTTAGAAAGACTGGCCAACTTTGCTGGTCACCTAACCAGGATGAGGAACACTAAATGCAATGAGTACCAGATTTGCTGGCAAAAAAGATGGGTAAAAAACCTTTATTTTCTTGGGTAATAGACAAGAATGGTTGAAAATGTAGACTATGAAAAGAACAAAATGTAACAGTCCATGTGCATTACCAAACACAATAACTATCTATCTTCTGACCATTATGGGTAACAGTCCTTCCAAACTTACCCACCTGAGTGCACAAATAGTAGGAAGCAATAAATTATAAAAAATAAAATCAGATCCTTTTGGAATTTTAGGAAAGCTTCAGTAAGAAACCTTATCCCTTTCTCATTCCATGCATTCACGGTGTGGCTTTGTTCCACTACTTGAATCTATCCTTGAAAGCATATAATGGCAGGTGGGAAAATACAGCAGTGTTATTGAGAAAAATTAAAACTACGAAGAGGAGGAATTTGTATGAAACATCACACTACCTTCTACTAGTTTTGCCTGTTCTGTGCTGATTTTTCTGTCATCTTGTAAAAGGCACTTCGGGACTGTAATTTTCTGTGTGAATTTTCCCCAAATAACTGTTATTGGTTACTGTTATTGTTAGTCTTTCAATTGTATTATACTCATTCTCAACAAGTGCTTCTGAACTTCAAGAAATAGGGGTTACATTAACTTCAATACAGGACTTTTTTGCTGTTGTTAAAAAAATTGCTATGGATTCCACAATGTCGATGTGTCTAGAAAACACTAATAACCGTGTTTTCTTGGTTTACAGTTCAACATTCCTTTTCCCTTCCTCTGACATCCGTACAAAGAAGTTCATTATGCTGAGTCCCCTGCAGCTAGTTTATAGACCTACCATGTATTCTGCGGTCAAATAAAACAAGCTTTGTTAAGGAGATTGTGGCTCTGGTGTTTTAACGATCCGAAAGTTTTTGCTGTGAATAAATGTTAATTGGATGAAGCACTACATGCAAAAGCTTTGATCCCTGAAAACAGAAGTGCATGTAATATAAAGGTCTGGAAAGAACAAGATCTAAAAATGTAACAAAAATGAATCTTTTAAAATGTCCAGATCAAGTTCTGCTACAAATTTCTATAAAAGTGAATCTCTAATTGTAAATGTTAAGAAAACTCAAACTTAGGGAGAACTTAATTTTCTGGTTACTAGTCATAGAAGTGTTCCTTATTTATCCTTCTGGCTCCACTGAATTAACATGTAAATACCAATCCTATACATGGAGCAGCAAAGGCTCTTCCACGTACACTCTGTCATCAGGGTACACAGCCCTGCCCTCCCATCAGAGCTAAAACACAGAACTAGAGGAGGCCAGTTTTTAAGTACAGGCACTGAATTCAGTGGTAGAAAACACCAAAAAGCTTTTGCTTTTGCAAATATGTTCTACATCAGATACCCTGTTTTAGGGAATCAATCTACAACAAAATCTGGTATTACTGCTTTTCCTTCTCAGAGTTTCTGTGGTTTGTGAGTCGGAAGCATTGGTTTTACACCAACTGCAATAGAGAAACCCAAGAAAAATAGTAAAGGTAAGATTGGCTACTCAGATTTAGTTATGCATCTCATTTGTCACATTGATGACCCAACAAAAACTGATTCTGTGATGTGTCAGGGGCTCCCTGGGAGCAATCCAGGGGCAGTTGGGCTGGATGATGCCTCTGGGCCAGGACACCACAGTCATCTTGTCATCTTGTCCTCAGTGCAGGGTTCTGGCAAGTGTCCGTAACCCTAATTCCCTTACAGGTGCTGACGTTTCCAAGTGCCTGCATCCTCAACATTTTTTAACTGAACAGGGACTAAGATGTTCTGGCTATTGAATGGCCATGTAAAAGTGAGTCATCTTTGACTCCTTGGTTAATTCTAGTTATTCCAGATTTGAATTTACCTGGAGAATATGAAAATAATATTCCCAATAAAAGGGAGGTGCTAAGCACCCAAGAATTTCAGCAGCTGTGTTATCAATGCTAAAATTAACTTTTTTTTTTCTTTGCTGTATACCTGTGGAGACTTTTTATCATATAAACAAGTATTCAGGAAGGCTTTCAGAGAATGAGCTGCAACAAGCTTTTCTGCACCACACACATGCTGAAATACATAAGGAAGGCAGGTATAAGGCATGAGAAATCCAAGGGGCCCAAAAAGCCTGCTCTTAGCAAAACTCAGCTTATAATTTAAGTCTGTTGATCCCAGAGACATTTTCTGTTATGCATGGTTTATGCCACTAACTTCTCTTTATTTAGGCAGATTGTTTAATGTACACTTGTTGCTGTCTTGCACTGGTAAAACCATAGATTTACCTACGTGCATTTTATGTTCTCTCAAGCAAGTTTTGTGGTTTTCTTATGCACAAGGTCTTGCAGAGCTGCTGGGTGAGTCTGGGGTTTGAATTTGTCTTAAAAGTGTGTGTATGAACAGTTTTCAGAGAATTCATTCTATTGGTTATGTCATCAGTTTCTCCAGTGAGAGAAGCTGTCCGCTTGATGACAGGGGCACACACCTGTTTTCCAGTGACTTTGTGTGTGTCTTCATTACAGTGTTAGACTGTATCATCATAGGCAAAAACAATTCAAATTTTCATGAGTTGGTTAATATAGGTTTAAGATATTCCCCAAAAAAGATGCCATAACTCTGTTTATATTACAAAAAAGGTTTTGTGTTTAGAAAGACAACTCAATAGTTAACTGTTGTCTTGCTAGTTTTGAAGTTGAAATCATACTAGGATAACTTAAAAACATAAAATCAAGTGGCCTAAATTTTTACAATGTAGCATCCTTTGAAGTTGCTAATTTTATCTTAACCTGGGAATCGTTTTGCCTTTGACAAAAAAAGATATTATTTTCTGCCAGATAACTCCACAATTCATTTCAGAGTTATGCTATAAATAAATAATAATCCAATCCTGATGAATATATAACAAAAGTTTTAAAACACTTCTCCTCATCTGCCAAGAAAACTTCAGAATGACAGGAGACATTTCTTTTTGTCAGCTTTGATTATATGCCATGCCTCTTCAAACCAGTCATTCCCATAATGCACAACTGAAGAGACTTTAAAATACTTTCCAGTTATTTTGTACATTAGGTCAGGATTTCTCAGTCTCAAATTCCATACAGACAATAATAATAGGAAGGATGGAGAGAGACTTTCAGTGACTGGTTTCTTTTGTGAGCCAGGTAGTAAATTAGAATAATATTATTTTGTACCTGCTGGAGTTTACATTGAAATCACTGGAGAAAAAATAGGGATTTCGTAACCAGTTATTGTCCTAAATGTACCTAAACTACATAATAGCAAAAAACCAGTGACTGCATTCTGTGGTACACTTTGGATGTCAAATACCTGGCTTCATTTTTGATTCTAGCCATCAAAATTAATTTTAATTGTATTCGGATGCTTTCTCAGATTAAAAAATAAAAAAAAAAAAAAAGGCTTTCAGGAAATTATAAGTATTGTCAAGAGTTGAGACTTGACAGACACTGTACCTGAACTGTCCTCATAGGATGACAAGAGGACATAGTCTCAGGCTGTGTTGGTGAGGGTTAGGTTGGACATTAGGAGAAATTTCTTCATAGAAAGGATGATTAGGCATTGGAACAGACTGCCCAGGTGTTGCAAAATGTGCAATATGTAAAATTTTCTAAAGAAAGGACGTTCTTTCTGTTCTGTTTGATCTTCATATACTTTCAAGCTTTATCAACAAGAAGGGAGATTTAATCCATGAAAGAGATAGCACCTAACAAGCTCTAAGTGATGTGCAGGTGTCAGAAAAACAAATTATTTGTTGGTAATATTGCCTTGTTAAGGTTTAGGGCTTGACATGCTTCAATGATCTCAGACCTAGGGGGAGGTTAACAAACCTTGGGGAGAAGGATGCCCACTGATAGTGGACGCAAAGAATGCAGAATTTGCTGCCCACAAGGACATCTGGGAGAACCCACAAGATAAGGAAGAAACCAATAAAGCCAACTCAGCAGTTGTGCTAAAATCAGCTCCAACTGGGTAAAAGGTAATTCTGGCAGGGGGAGATCACGACCAACAACTCACTGACCACCCATCCAAGAAACCCACCGGCCCAAAGGAAGAGAAAGACTGGGCATGTGGACTAATTAACATGAGAAGCAAGAGAATCGTTAACCAATAGGCGACAGAATACTAATTAATAAGAGAACTATGTAACTTGTAGCCAATGAACACTAATTCCTTTGTTTGGCAAACTGTATGAACAGTAAGAAGTTTGGGTAGCTGGCGTGGTTGACTTGTGAAATAGTGCCCGGGCTTGCACAACTCTGAAATAAATAATCCGCGATTCTCTTGAGTGTGTGTAATTATTGGCTTGTTGCACACCGGGTAACGAATTCGCTTTTCGTGGACTGCCCGGGGAGGTGCTGGAGTCACAGTCCCTGGAGGCACTGAAGGAACGACTGGACGTGGCACTCAGTGCCGTGGTGGTGGTGTTCGGCCGTAGGGTTGGACTCGATGACCTCAGCGGTCTTTTCCAGCCAAACCGACTGATTCGGTGATTCCGCGATTTCACGGACGGCCCGAGACACTTCCCCCTCTCCCACACATCCCTCCCTCCCACACGGCCTCCACTCCCACACGCCTCCCGCTCCCTCAGCCGCCCGCCCCGCCCCGCCCCTCCCCGCGCGTGCGCGGCGCGGCCGCGGCGCTCGCCCCTCCGCCGGGCCGGGCCGGGCCGGAGCTCGACGGGCGGCGCCGGAGCGGCCGCGCCCCGGGCAGGAGCCGCTCCCCGGGCAGGGGCAGGAGCCGCCGCCGCCGCCGGGAGCGGAGCCGGGCGGGCCGCGCCGCGCCATGCGGCTGTGCGGGGCGCTGCTGAAGGGCCCCATCCCCAAGCAGATCGAGTACTACTCGCGCTTTTCCCCCTCGCCCCTCTCCATCAAGCAGTTCCTCGACTTCGGTGAGCGCCGGGGCCGCGGGGCTGAGGGGGTGTGCGGGGGGGTCACCGCGGCACTGCCGGGGAGCGGCGAGTAGGCCCCGGCTCCTCGGCCGCAGCTGCTCGGCCCCGGCTCTCCGGCCCGCAGCGTGAGCGCGGCCGGGCCCGGCAGGGCGGCCCCGCAGGCCGGGGGGCCCCGCGCTGAGCCCGGGCCGTGCGCGGCGTCGGTGGAGAACGAGCGGCCCCTGCTCGCCTCACCCGGGTGCCAGGAGAGGCAGACAGGGTGCTCCTTCCCTGCGCTATTCCCTGGCGCGGGCGCCGTGGGGATGGGGGGTCATAATAAGGGTTTCTGACCTGAGGTGTCTGTGAGCGTACCCGCTCCGTCGCTCGCTGGGTTACTGGTCTGGAGCGTGGAAATTTTAGTCTAGAGATCGACTTACTTAAATCTCGCGTATGAACTCTGGCAGTACTTGTGTAGGTGACCTGTGTGTACAAAACTGAGAAGCGTTTTAGGAAACGTTGCTGTTGAATAAATATAATTTTTCTTTTCAGAATAAATAATAATGACATTATTAGTATAACAGTAATTCCAGAATAAATAGCATCTCTCTTTGTAGAAGCACTAGAACTGAACCCAGGAGTGGCTTGTGTTAAAAAACGTGCTTCCATCTAGATAACGATAAACCTGTATCTGTATGAGAGGTTGTTTGGCTCCTGGTCTCTGATACAAGAGTTATTGAGATTTTATTATCATATGAATATTGCTGATATGTAAAGGCCACGTGTAGCACCATGAAGCTTAACAGAGCATTCCTTCGTTCCGTGGTTATGCTAAAGGTACAAAAGGACAAAAATGAGCCAGTGGGTTCACCCAGAAAGTGATTAAAAGTGAAAACAATTGCACAATTATGGCAATGGTATTAGTGATGAATGCTGTAAGTACAGAAAGCCAGTACTGGGCTTGACACAACATCTCAGTGAAACAGGTTTTTGTACCATTTAAAAAGAAAACCACAAAAAAACCCACATCACACCACGGCTCCATTTAAAGGAGAACCTGATTAGAAGCCTTGCTTTCTTTCTCTGGTCTCTGCTCACCTGAATTTGTTCTCATTTCCCCACCCCTTCCTGTGCTGATGGGCTTCTCCTGCTCTGGCGTTTGTGCTTCTTATACTGTCTTTCTGTACTGCCAAGAGTAATGGCCTAAAACTTATCTTTATTTTAGCCCTGACACTAAACAAATCGTGTCACCGTTGCTTTTTTGAAAGTTGGGTTTGTAAATTGTTGCCAGGGATGTACTGCTGTTTGTGAGGCCTTCCAGTTGTCACTAGAGAGGTGTTAAGGTTTCAGAATTTTCTTTAATGCCTTGGATGTTCTGACAAAACTTTGCCTTTTGTTAAGGATTTCCACAGGTCTGTGTTGGCCCTGCATTACTGGTTGCCTTTAGGCCTCTCTTCCGTGGCAGCCTTTCAATAATGCTATGTTTGTTTTAACACTGTAGTGTCTGTATTACTTTATGGTTTGAAAAATGTCTCACGATCCTCTAGGAAAAAAATAGTTTTATTTTACAATTTTAAGCCTGGTTTATGTTAGTGGAAATGAACAGAGTGAGAACGCTATGTTACAGCCTGTCCAGCCTTATTTTTTGGATGTGCTCCAGTCTGTTGTCACTGGATGTGTCACTGGAGTCTTGTGTGTGTGCAGGGTACATATTTAAGTGTATTCATATTTTAAGACTGATGGGAAGGTACCTAGTCGTTGACATTTAAAACCTCTGAAGGAAAAAAAAATGTCTACAGTTTAGTCCTGGAAGGTCACCAGGAGTTTCTAAAATTAGTAGTTTTATGTTGTATCAACATTGCTAAACCTATCAGCTTGATCTTAATAAGCCTTATGGGCCCCTTAGCATCTCCACTTACTTCCTCTTTAGTGCCTGTATTTACTTGGGAAAACTCAAGTAGGAAGTTTACAGCAGTTTAAACAGATAGATTAAAAACAATGTATTTATTTAACTTATGTGATCCTGAGTGTTAATGGCTTTCGGTAGTTTCAAGTTCTGCTGGAGACTTCAGAGGCCTAGAGGAAAAATTGACATAAAAACGTAAGGCAATAGTGCAAGAGTTCTACCACTTGAGGAGTGCAAGGCCTGGACAACATGCACTGTGTCAGGGAGCTGTGTTACTTTAATCTGAATTAACCAAAACAGAATTTGCTGGTGGCACAGGATGCAGGTATTCAGGAGAGCAAATCTGCGGAGGATAAGGAGCATGATACTCAATGTGTTTACCTTGCTTGAATGTTTGATGGGAGGAAGACACTCTGTTTTGTGGTCAGCTTGTAGAGGCTACCTAATGTCTCACTTAAAAAGAAATGGTGTTTTTAGTTGAGCTAGGTGAATGTAGTGCTTGTTTTGCAAAAACGTGACTGAATTTTCAAAAAACGTTGAAGAAGAGTAAGGCCAAAGGAAATGTGTGAATAACCCTCTAGTGTCAGTCTGATTTTGTCTGATGTACATTTCTTGTCTGAAATTTGCACTTACTGTGATTTGGATTTATTTGAAGACAGTTTTTTGACTTAAATTCTGATGATAGTGAAACTGCAATGTGTTCTTTATGTCTTTTTATTAGTGGTTATATTGGTTTATACTAAGTTAGTGTAGAAATTTGTCTCTTTGTAAAATTCTGGTGAGCAGGGGAAGAGAAACTTTCTATTTCTTGTGAGCTGAAGCTGAAGAACCTTCAAAGACAGTTGATGGCAATGTATAGTGAGGTACAGCTTGGGCTTCTTTTTATTACTCAATAACCAGGTAGTTGTATGGAACACAGTTGTGTGCATAGTGGGACTGTATGGTCTCTTTCTTTCCAGTGATATAAATTGACGCTCTCAGGGAGCTTAATTCAGCTAATTAAACTGCTATAAAAGCCAGCTTGGCTGTTTGAGGTAACTCACTAGTCCTAGAAACCCATGACACAAACCAGAAAGCAACAGTTAAACAGCGACTCTCACTTGGCTTTGGTAGCTGAGCCCCGTTTGTGCCCACATGCCGTGCTGCGTGATGTACTTTGTTGAGCTTGCAGCTGTCTTTGTAGCTGCCGCAACTGTGTCAGAGGTTACTGTGTCATGGGCTTGGGACCTCTGCATCAGAAAGTCTGAGCGCTCAGATTATGCAGCTTTTTTCTGTTTTCGCTGTGTGTACATTTTCTGTTTGCACACTCCTGAATACTGTTCAGGCAGTTTCTTTTGTTATGAAGTCTATTTCCCAAGATTGTTGTGCAATCTTGTTCCTTTTTAAAAGAATAACCTTCTGTAAGTATGTTTCAATATAAACAAGTTTTGACCTTGTTTAATATTGGCACGTCACTCCAGGTTTATCCAGGCCTCTATAATTATTCTGGTCTGGCAAAAGCGCAGACCCAACAAACTGGGTTCAGCTATGTACTTCCAAACTGGGTAGTTCTTCTGCAAGTTATTTTGATAGATTTCCAAGTGCAAGCATTTCTTAATGACCCAGACTGATATAATTACTCAAATGTCTTTTCTGAAATGAACTTTTGAGTGTAGATGTCATCTAATGTTCAGGTACGTGGGTCTTTGTACATTTTGGGAGCTCGACTGTTTGAGAAAAGCAGTGCCCATACTGGGGATCCGTATTGATGGAGCATCTCAATTTAGATTTGCTTCAGTGTGTAGAGTGGGCCTTAGAAGGTGACAGGTTAATCCAAAATACACAATAATCTTAATCACCAACCACATGAGTACCCAGTGGTTCATGTATTCCTGGGGAAAATAATAACCCATCAGACAGGGTTGTTTGGGGAAAGTAGAGTTTCTTTTCTGGGAATGTCCTAGCATTTAAAAAAGGCTCATGGTGCCTGCACTGCAGCCTGTGTTGGTGAGGGCCAGGTGTGAGCCAGCCCTGTAGAGCTGCACTGGTGCTGAACCCTGCCCCAGCTGGCAGGCTGCACACAGCTGCTTGGCCACCTCAAGTACCTCAGTGAAGTTACTGACAAATGTTTTGGGAAATTAATGGTTGTACTGCAAAGGTTACATATAATTAAGCACAAATAAAGACATGAGTGAACTATAAATTGTGCAATCCTTTGATCGTGCATGAAGTCATTTGAAGTTGTGCTCGTGCTGTGTTGTTGTGAACGTGTGCCAATATACTGTAGTCATGGAATCCTCTCATTGCTGCTGCTCAGCTGACCAAGTGCCTGAGACTTTTGGGAGTCTGAGGTTTGTTTCATCAGAAACACCTACCGTGTGCTTTTGGAGCTTGTTGACTACTAAGGCTGTCTTGACCAGCTGTGCTTAGCCTTTTTCATGTTTCAAAACAAATATTTTTGATGAATTTTGTACTTACGGGGTTAAACTTGGCTTTTTGTTAGCTCTTTGAACATTTCATGTGTTAGCATGTACCACATAGTTACTGATGAATTGGGATAAAAAAGTCATGCATATGCTGAAGATAGAAGTGAATCATAGTGAACTCTTGTTGTGGAATGTGGTTTAAGAGATCCTGATTCTGTAGGTTATAGTTAAAATATTTGTGGCAACTGCTGCAGCTAGTGGCATTGAAAAATATCACAAAGGTTGTAATTTGGTAATTTTACTGTACTGTAAACAGCTGAGCATGCAGCAGATAATCAGTGACTGTGTGTGGTTTGGGAACTGTTGTGCCCTGGGGCGTATCTGGAGGAAAAGATGATCAATTTTTAAATACAATTTTTCGTATGAAATTGTTTAGTTTATGTAGTAAAAGGTACCTGTTCAATTTAGCTGTCTTGAGGAAACCTGTAGGCCTCTTCCAAAACCAGTATAGAGTAAACCATTTATTGGCATCGGTGTGGATTGTTGACAGTTGTAGGTGATCGGGTTTCTGCAGGAGTGTTTACGCTCCGTGTTGGCAGAGACAGCAGCACTGAGCTGAAAATGTGCCATTGGAAGGGCAGCTGGCAGATTCAATTTGAACAACAAGATGTGGGGTAGGAAAGCAGAGTTCAAGACCAGCCTTCTGTCTCCAA